ACTACTAGGAGCAAGAAGCTACTAGTTAACAAGGGCATCGCTACTAGCCTTCAGCTCTCCCGCTGTTTTGCAAGTTTGTGGCGCTCAAGGAAGCAAGTTGGGCCACTACCAAATCTGATTACGTACTGCACCAGCATCAGTGCATGTGAGACTCTTGGAAGTTCTGGACCGTGTATTAACCTAACGCCTTTGCAAAATGCATTGAGTGTTCCCAGGTTCAACGTTCTGAGAATCAACCATTTTACAACATCGCGATGTTTGTCAGTATTGCTGCTATTGGAGCAGATAATCGGCCACCTTTGCTAGCTTTTGCGGGACATGTTATATAGAAATTAGAAATATATTGACGTGCACATGTCTCATTATTCAATCATTCAGGTATGTTCACACATTCATTTGCTCCAAGCGCACCAGTTTTGTCAATGGTGGATTTGCCACTAAATACACCTGCAGGGTCCGTTCAGCTGTTGGCTGTTGATGCCTTCCTCATGTTCCAAAAAGTTCTACGAAATAGCTGTTCATCCTGCTTCATTGACGCGACGTCAAGGAGAGCATCTCAATGGCATGCTGCAATGTGGCTCTTTGAAGAGCTGCAAGGATTGCGCGGTGCATAGAATCTGAGAGCAACCCAGTGAAAGATGGATGATTGATTCCAAAAGACTGCACCCAAGGGTGTTGTTTGCCAGCCAGCTGACACGCCGCACATACATGCACGCACACTCTGACATTGGTTTTCAGTTAATCTATTCCCAAGTGGAAAAAGGTGAGGGAACGGAAAGGTGGAAGAGAACGCAGAACAGTATTGTTTAACAGAAGGTTACGGTGACTGCAGAACACTAGTTACTGAATACTTATTAGCAGACCTAGGAAAGGAAAGAGTGAACCGAAAGGCGAAGAGTCCGAGTACTTGAAGGTGTTTTAACAAAGGTTGACGCGTGACTGCAGAAAACTAGTTACTGATTACTTGGCAGGTTGAATTCACGCCGTGCAAGGAAACCTGTTTTGGAGGATATCGTGTGAAGAACCACCATGGAATCAAACCAACAGCGGCAAGGGAAACCAGTGGAGTCATTGCGTTTGATGCAGGTACATGACAGTGGAGCGTCCTCCACTGCTTCAGCACCAACCGATACCCTCGTCGTTGGACGGGCAGTATCGGTGGTGACCTGCCCCCCTGCTATGACAAGTTGAAGCTCTTAGTTACAGAGGTGTGTCACAGAGTGCCGATATCGGCGCTCTTGAGGAACTTACTGTACTAAACACCTAAAAGCCTTAGAAAGAAAGACAAGGAAAAACAAAAAGAGCAAAAGAAGAGGGCAAGAGAGAAAAATAGGAGGAGGAGTGGTACGAGGCCCACTAGTTATGAAACCTTCTAGTTACTGAATACTTAGCCGAAATGAATTAAATGCATTAGTTAGCGAGCGGGACTTTCGTCTTAAACCGCCCGGTTTTCTAGGAGTAGAAAAGGAGAAACAGAAGGAAAGGTACCGACACACAAGTGTGTCGAGTACCATTTCCTTCTGTAACCCTAGATAGCGGGTGGGATAGAAACATGAATTCGGTTGCAAGGTGGGGGGGGGTGCGTGGAGGTGCATGTGTGACACATATACATGGCCGTAAGCCCGGCGGCGTGAAAGGTGAGTCGCATGTGTGGCACATATACATGGCCGTAAGCACGGCGGCGTGGAAAGTGAGTCGAAAATGGACATGTCGAAGGAATTGGACAAAATGCGACATCAATCGCATGAATGCACCGGTGGAAATGTTGTCGTGGGCCCGACGGCATAGGGTTTTGGGAATCCCGGAGTGAAACAGAGTCCGTTAAGAGAATCCAACGTGTGCAGAACGGAAGAAAATCACTGAATGGTAATCCGGAATGAGGACAGCGCTCTCTTGCGGGAGATCACACCCAGCACCCAAGTGGGACGACTGAGCGGTTCACACTCTGACATTGGTTTTCAGTTAATCCATTCCCAAGTGGAAAAAGGTGAGGGAACGGAAAGGTGGAAGAGTCCGCAGAACAGTATTGTTTAACAGAAGGTTACGCGTGACTGCAGAACACTAGTTACTGAATACTTAGCAGACCTAGGAAAGGAAAGAGTGAACCGAAAGGCGAAGAGTCCGAGTACTTGAAGGTGTTTTAACAAAGGTTGACGCGTGACTGCAGAAAACTAGTTACTGAATACTTAGCAGACCCAGGAAAGGAAAGAGTGAACCGAAAGGCGAAAAGTCCGAGTACTTGAAGGTGTTTTAACAAAGGTTGACGCGTGACTGCAGTAAACTAGTTACTGATTACTTGGCAGGTTGAATTCACGCCGTGCAAGGAAACCTGTTTTGGAGGATATCATGTGAAGAACCACCATGGAAACAAACCAACAGCGGCAAGGGAAACCAGTGGAGTCATTGCGTTTGATGCAGGTACACAGTGGAGCGTCCTCCACTGCTTCAGCACCAACCGATACCCTCTTCGTTGGACGGGCAGTATCGGTGGTGACCCGTCCCCCTGCTATGACAAGTTGAAACTCTTAGTTACAGAGGTGGACACACACACACGTAGTGTACTGTACATAATTATTTTTAAAATAACTATACATATATATATATATTTAAGATAACTATACATATAAATATATATATATTTTTTTAATGTAATATTTGTAATGCGTCCATACTCGCGACTGACAAGAGGACAATCCTTTGTGCCAAACCTGATCGCTTACAGTGCCACAATCAGTGCTTGTGACAAGGGATCGTTGTGGCAGCGCCTGGGATGCAGATGAGATAGTGTGTTTCGAGGGCATCATTGCAAAATACAGGAGCGTTCAAACGTGGATTTGATGTCCTTTGGCTGGGTCCATTTTTCTCCTCGGCGTCCGCCTGCTTCACACTGAGGCAAGCGCTTTGGCATTTAGAAGAATCTGGCTTGCTTAGTGTGATGCATGCAAAGTGTTGTTTCTAATGTGGGAAGTCATACTATGTTTCAATACGTATTTTTTTAAAATATGGTTTCCATCATGGAGGACCAACTTTTGTTTCCAGCTCGTGGAGTTCAGCCCAGGAATTGACACAACGAGGGTTCGAAGCTGATGCAATAATTTGCAGAAGTTGCATTAGTGCATGCAAGAAAGGGTCTCAAGGACAGTTGGCACGCATGATCGGAAAAGGAGGATCAACCATGCAATGCTACGGCATGCCATTTTGTTACGTTGTTTTGTTGGGGGCACATGGGGGTTCGATCCTTGAACAGGTTGTGCGTGTTCCTTTTGTGCTTGGAATCGTCTATTTTGATTTTGCCCCTGCCATCAAGGCCTGAAGGCTGCATGAATTGCTTGCACTATGGCAAAGCATGGAGAAGCTATTGCTAAGTAGTGATAGATGATTTCGACACACATTCCAGACCCTGCCAAACTACTCAAACCCTGATAGTCCAATTGAGTTTGACATTTAGCACTGTCCTCCAAGCAGATGTTAGCACACAAGGGCGGTTACTGTATTATAGCTGCAAGGGCTCGACCAAGCTGGACCTGACCTGGATAGCAGCGCTCTGTCCACTTGGCTCCAACCCATTGGACCAAGACTGTCTCAGTATATCACCAAACCACTAGATCGGGCACCACAAATGTACTTAGCCGGGCGTGACTGACCATGGCCACAACACACGGGGGTCTACCTGCACCAGCGTTCCAACGTGGCGAAACTCCAGTCAGATGCTAAGATTCAACTATATTCTGCTGATGGACTGATGGACTAGCATATGTGCAGACCACGGGCTGGGACCCAGGCTGATGAGAATAGAACTACTTGATTCTTGATTCTTTCTTGTTTGTTGTTTACATGGCAAACCAGGGCCACAGGATTCCGCAGGCAGGGATATCGTCATTGTGCTCATGCAAAATCCTTGGAGCCAGGCTTTCCAGTCCCATGTCCAAATCCTTGATGCTAATGCTAAGTTCTTTCACGTGTTTTCTTTGGCCCCCGTTTATACAAACTCTACAACATGGCCAACACAAGCCGACCTTTTGAGTTTTAACGGGGATGCATTTGTACTTCAGGAGCAGTGGAGAGTTGAGCAAACCCAGAGTAATCTTGATAATCAAAACCCTTGCAGCCAGCGCAGAAAAGCATTTGTGTCTCAGCAACCAATTGAGCAGGCCCGGCAATTCATAAGGGAAAACTTTGCCTGGATTCACCGTATTCGTTGCCATTGGTAACGGTTACGCTACAGGTTTGCAGCATTTCCCGTTGTTGGGGTTGGGTGAAAAGTGGGCTTCCCCCATGTTGCTGTACGTGGTAGTAAGTGTATGTATATATATATTTTTTTTTTGTCATATTTCATGTCTGTTTATAGATGACACATGCACGGCACACCCGATGTGTATATATAATATATATATATAATTAACTATATGTTTTAAGCAATATTTACACGTCTTTTGTCCAGTCAAAAGATCAACAAGACCTGGGGCTCCTTTTTGTGAATGCTACCACCCGCAAAAGACTATTTGACACAAGTTCTATTCAGAGCGCATGCCGATGATGTTTTTCTTATGAGTGACGTTTTTTGCGAACAGCATGAGCGGCCTTAGCTTAACGTGTGAACACTTCATATACGAGATTTGCGGGGCTTTGCCTTGTGAGGGTGCAGCTTTTTCCTGACAAACCTTCTCATCCAAAAGGCACAAGGTGAGGATCAGATAAGGAACGTCACAAGGCACAGAAACATGCACCTAAAAACGACCCCAATTCCGTTCACCAACGGAAAACACAATCCTTCCGTGACCACATCCTTATCAAACCAAATCACTATATCCATCTAAATCCTGATATTTCTCGACCAGTTTTTGAGCATTACCTGCACTACTGACCCATGTCTAGGCTATATACTATAGATTTGAGGAGCAGACATGCTGGAAATAATACTTGTAGATTGCGCATGCCCATGCTCCCTCTGCAATGCAAAGGGCTGTGTCAATGTCATTTCACAGTCCATCGTGCGGCTTTGTGTTGCAGCCAGCGACTGAGGCTCTTCAGCTGAGTGGTAGGCGTGGCGCAGATGCTTTCCATACTTTTGGTAAGTAAACATTATCTATACAAAGCGGAGGCTTGTTTGCTGGGCTTTGTTCCAAAATGTAGCTTGAAACCATTCGAACTGAAACCGCATTTAAGTCAGTTAAAAGGCAGAGTAGCTAGAGTAGCTATGCAGTTTAACTGTGGAACTGGGTTTTGGGTTTGGCAAGGCGTAACTTGCGCTTTCCGCCGAACCGTGATGTCCTACGACCGCGGGGGGGCTGCACCAAAAGGAGCTCTCGTGAATGTGTCCCTGAGCCGTTCTAGAAATGGTGTGCAAGCTAGGCCTAGGCATGGCTCTGCCAGGGCGAGCTGGTTTTTGTCCCTCCAGGACTGCCACTTCCCTTTGCACGAAGTAGCAATCGTGGCCTTCCTGGCTTGGTTTTGCAGCTGAATGACAAGAGTTGTTGCTTAAAGTCTAATCGGAATTTATATGAAGCAAGACAGAGCAATCACGAATAAACCTCAACAAGCTTGTTCGCCGTGACAGGCACTGGGTGGGTCTTGGTTTTGACGTTTCTCTCGTCGGCCGTGGCCAACAGAGTTGCCAATCGCATCCTTTTGGCTGGGTTTCCCAAGCGCATCGCCGGAGTTACGAAGGTCATGAGCCGCGCGGAGCTGGAGCGCACTTGTTTTGATTGCGCTTAGCAGATGGTTTTGACTTCACAACCAGCGCAGATCTTCAACGAAACAATCTTGGACATGTTACTGTATACAAGGGGTGCGGTTACAGCATATAGATCCGCAAGACAAGGATGTGTATAGTATAAAATCGTGGCTGTCCTACTCAAGGTCCCCATGGCTAAGCACAGCTTGTTTCTTTCATTGGCCACCAGTGCTGCCCAGTGGAAGCCTGAGTTGAGAGCAGAAGATGTGGGAAACATATTAGCCCCAGTTGTCTACCTATTGATGAGTATGAACATGGATGAACACGGCGGCCGTTTTTGTGGAGATGACGCACGAAGGTTGCAGGCAATGATTGATGCTTGCAGTGTATGTGCGCTGCTCTAGGAATCATTGTGGGAAGCCTCTCCCAGGACTCATTCGCACTGTTAGTTTTGGTATGTTTTGGTGCAGTGGGGTTTTGAGGTTGGCTGCTTATGCCCTGCTGCTTCTCAGCCGTTCCTGGCAACAGCCTTCTGGTCGTGTGGATGCCAAGGATCAGAAGTATTGTTTCAACTGGACCCCAGAATGACCACCTACATACTTCAATACTCCCTGGCACCCTGGTGAGGTAGGTGTTCTGGCACCCCTTGTGAATTTAATTTCCTAATTATATAATTGTGGCCATCCAACCTCTTGCGGTAGACATAACTGTCTTTGGTACATCAACTTGACATTTGTTTGGTCTCATGCTTCGGATAGCGCCCCCCGAATTGGTCGTCAGATGTTGTTGGCCACTCCCTGCCTTGCTAGTTCTGATAACTTCACACATGTCGCCTCGTTGCGGTTTGTGTGCATCCCTCCTCTCCACAAGATCAGCTTCAGGTCCGTTTCTCCTTTTCGTGGCCGATTTCTGGATTCCTTTGTTCCTGACTGGGCTGTGTGGGGACCCTGGAGATCCAAAGCACTCAAGTGTCTTGTAGCATGTCCTGACTTCTATGGCACAGGTGAGGGGTGCTTTTATCCCTTGGTTTTTTCAGCAGCAGCGAAGTTGCCGGGCGGTTTGGTCCAGGCCGGGGTACAAACATCCATGTCAATGACACGAATGTCTTCGTTGCATCATGCTATGCTTCAAGTGCGGCAATTGCAGATTGCATGCATCCTTCATGCTTAGTGAACATATGTGAACATATGTGAATACAATAAACTCAAGTATATAGCCCAATCTTTGAAAGATGTTCTTGGATATCCCCTGCATGAGCCGCGCCTTTTTTCGACCCAGCCCGCTTTTGCAGGTCTTGAACCAGTCCATTGTCCCGTATACTGTTCTTTTCAGTGTGATGTCCTGAGATTGGGACCATGCCAGTCAGCAAAGTTTTGATGAAATCGGACGCTGTTAACTTGAAAATGCAAAAGAATGCCATTGGTCGCTTCTTTGATTCCCTCACCGCATGATCGGCTAGGCGCTCCTGATGGGCCGTTCCTATGAGCCTTTGCAGCTGTTGGGAGCAATAGGCCCAGAATCATGCAGTTTTCATCTCTGGGATTGCAGGGCACCAAGAGGTCATGAAGTGCATAGGAAATCTGCAGATCCACATTGGTCCTGCAATCCTCCAGACGTACAGCGAGGGAGATGCGCAAGCACAAATACTAATATATTATATAATATACTGTATATAATATATATATATATTACTATTTATAGATATACGGTATACACATATACATATGTAATTCTATAAGCATACAGAAATATAACTGTTCAATGTTGAAGAAGTCAAAGCATGTCAAAGCATTTTTGCAAGATCAGTGGCAATCCTTGAGGTTGCTGTGGTTCTACTTGGCGTCCTGTTTGCTGTGGGGATGCCCCTTGGTTGGGCTCCTAGGGCAGTGGAAATGCAATGAGACACTCACCAGAAGAGATACTGTAGAACAACGAGGTTGGCTTTTCTGAAAATTCGATAGGACAGGCCAGACAAGCCGTGGATGTTTAGGTCCGAAAGGCAGACAGGAAAGTGAGCAGATCACTTGCATTCACTTGCTGAAACTTGTTGAAAATTATCCCGGCCAGAGACCCCAAACAGTGTGTGAGGTCTACACGCAGAAAGTCTAGAGATCTAGACGCATTGGGGTCCAGAGAGGGGTTGGTGGTGATGAAGGTGGGGATCGTGGTGACGGTGGCGGTGGTGGTGAGTGAGTGTGAGTGTGAGTGCGAGTGAGTGTGGATGACAGTGAGTGTGAGTGCGAGTGAGTGTGTGAGCGCGAGTGTGTGTGGATGAGAGTGAGTGTGAATGTGAATGTGAGAGTGGGTGAATGTGAGTGTGAGTGTGAGCGTGTGTGAGTGAGTGAGAGCGAGGGTGAGAGTGAGAGAGTGAGCATCTGAGAGCACAAAGTGCCGCGCCTGCCACGAAATCTGCACTTCGAACGAAATCTGCACGTCGAGGTTCACCAAGTGCTGCACCTGCCACAAAATCTGCACTTCGGGGTTCACCAAGTGCTGTACCTGCCACGAAATCTGCACTTCGAGGCTCACCAAGTGCTGCACCTGCCACGAAATCTGCACTTCGAGGCTCACCAAGTGCTGTGCCTGCCACGAAATCTGCACTTCAAGGTTCACCAGCCGAGTGCTGTGCCTGCCACGAAATCGACTTTGAGGTTCCCCACAAGTGCTGTGCCCGCCACGAAATCTGCACTTCGAGGTTCACCAAGTGCTGCGCCTGCCACGAAATCTGCACTTCGAGGTTCACAAAGTGCCGTGCCTGCCACGAAATCTGCGCTTTGAGGTTCACAAAGTGCTGTGCCTGCCACGAAATCTGCACATCGAGGGTCACAGAGTGCCGTGCCGTGCCTGCCATGAAATCTGCAAACGAACCACATGTGCAAAAGTCACGATTCACTGCACCTGTCACTGCACCTGTCACGAAATCTGAGCTCCTCGACAATCACCACTGTGTCCAAAGTGCTGCACCTGCCACGAAAACTTCATTTCGAAGTCAAACACCTCCGATCCCTTGCACTTGTCACTAAAAGTCGGCTTTGGAGCACCAAAGCACGAGATTTCCCTTGTGCCTGCCACGAAAAGTGATCACCATGTGCGAAAATGTGCACGACGGCATCACAACGTGAGCGCAGTCGTTAAAAGCACCCGCCGCGGACGCCCAGATTCAGCGAGCCTGCGCAGTCGAAATGCACATTCACGATGTCGAGAGGCATGAATGTACTTTAAATAGCAGCGAATTAGCCGCACACGCCCGCACGCTTCAGCGATCTAAGTATCAGCTGCTTTTCTCCTACCGTAAGAACCCCTAGTGTGTCCACACTGTTTGGGGAAAGAAGGTAAGTTAAGAACGGCCCCCTTTCACGGGCTTGTTAAAGAGGTTATTGACTTCTTATTTTCCTCTCGTTTTGCGACAGATCAACGACACTTGACCGAACATTGGTTGGAGAAGCGCTGCAGCCGCTGCACGGTGAGGCGCCCTTAGTTTGCAAGGTGGCGCCTGGCAGGTGAGAGGGCCACAGCTGTAGCATGTGTATTCGCTGGGCGATTTGCAATCAAAACAGTCCTTCACTCTTTCACAGAAGGTTGAGTTCGTGTTTCGAAGAAAACACTGCAATTGGCAATTGAAGAATTGGATCTATGGAGGTCATGTTTAAGCATAAATAATGCACACAATTCATTCAACATCATTCAATAACGATATTAACTTGTCCATGGGCATTAAGAAGGGTCCTAGGCTTCAGGTTTTGCAACATGTTCTTCATTTGTTTTGAGTTTCACTGTCCGTTGTGACAGTTTGTGTTTCCAAGTATGGGGCCTGATGTGTGCGTGTGTGTGGTTGTGTGCAAAAGTGTGCATTGTTTATTAACTCTATATATAATATACTGTATATTGTTTTTCGCGTTAGGTAGGTGCTGGTACTTCGCAATTATATGCATAAATATGCACATGCAACAGAAAGTGACCTCGGCATCTTATGTTTCGTCGAGGGATTTGTATAGTGCTGTTGGCTGAGTGACATGTTCAAGATTGGCACACAAGCCTTGCTTGACTCAAGTGACAAGAGTTGCTGGTCTCTCTCAGTCTCCAGTTGCTAGCACAACTGACGCGCTCTGTGACTGGTTGCTTTGAGAAGATCCCTTTTGACCAACATTGCGGCCAGGATGTGCTGCAGTGCACTGGCCGGATCCACAGGTCACACTGAGTCACACGTAGCATTTTGGCTGTTGCCTACAGTAGTCAGTGCAAATCCTTCAAGTCACACGTGGCTCTGTGAGTGTTTGCTGTGCCATGCTGTGTCCTACATTGGTACCTTTGCTATGCTTGCATTGTCGAACTGATGCCGTCTAAGACGTTTTCAAAACACGCAGTAGGTGGGGTTGGAGCATTCTTACCCTTTTAAGGTGCCTATTCCTTGCTTGCCATGGGGGTGACCTTGAAGGCGACGAGTTTTCGGATCATAGTGGAGTTCAGGCCAAACAATCTTCGTAATCATGTCGTCATGCAACGCATTTACTGTACATGTTGCAGTCGACTCTGCTTGAACTTGTTTCATGCTGGCAGCTCGAGATTGTCATGCTGCAAGGATCTAGTTTTCAAGCAGTCGCAGACTGGCGAGGCCGTGACCAAAGCAACTACCGGTAGCGTATTGTTTGATGATGGAGTTGCATAATCTTGTTTTCAGAGTGGTACTTGTAGCCTGGATTTGCCACGAGTACCCGAAGCAACTTGAAGGTTTGGGGCAGTTTGCATAGTAGGCAATACGCTTGCTTTGTGGCTCTAGTATGACGTATCAAGATGTATCAAGGCCCTTTTTATGATTTGCTTTCGAGGCAAAGCAAAGAGTTGTCAAACGTTTCTGTTTGGACAAGTTTTTACATTCTGTGTGGCCGAATGCGCAAGATACATCAACATCGCAAACACCCTTTCCATCTAGGCTGTTTGGAATGTGTACGCAGAAATTCCTGAGCAAAAAAAAGTAAAAACATTGGTTGAGCCAAGCTCTTTTTCTCAAGGACCTTCATCACTCCCTCAGTGGCTTCAGTTCAGCAGGTTTGATTTCAGCATGAGGCCTCCTCCGATAACTCATTCCGACATATTCCCGATCCACTACGAGCTTCCAATTGCCCAACTACTTTGTATATAGTACCACAGTTAATGGCGCTGCTGAACTTAATTGTAGCAGCATTGCTGTCCAATTGCCTTGCGATTCTTGGCAGCATTTTAAGGTTACGAGCCGACATTGTGACTTTGGACTTGAAGAATGAACGTGTTTTGGTAGGTTTGGCACAAGGTGGTGGAACACATGAAATACACAATGCTTTTTCTATTGTTTCTTCAAGGATTGAACCACTAGGGTGGGGTGGGACACACACACACACACATGCGCAGACTGAAGTAATTCCGCACGTTTCCGCACATGTCCTAAGGAAAGGGAGCAAACCCAGAAAGCGAGCCGAGGGCGCCTTGGGTCCTGGTTCGGAAGCGTTGGACCGTGAAGAGGCTGAAGAGCTTCTGAACCAGCTGGCACCTCAGGACGTGTGAGAAGAGTGCTTTGAAGTGTTTGGTCATTCTTCTTCGGACTTTCTTTCTGTTTCCTGAAGAAGACTACAGTACTTCTATTATCTTCATGTCTCTTCTATTTATTGTTTTTCTATTATGCTAGTAACTAGTATAGAATATTCAGAATATATATAATAGACGCCAGTATTCTGTATTCTGCTTCATTCTTTTGTTTGTTGTGTCCTTCGCGATTTTTTCTTCCTGTTTGTGCTCCTACTTAACTACTTCAGGAGGAAGAACGTATCGTTTTTCCTTTATACCGGTTCTTACAATTAGGAAGGCCGTTTCAATTTCGCGTGGCCAGAGTGGGGACGGTTACTTATCACCCGCTTTTGCATTTACAACATTTACGACTTAGGAACTTTGCAGGGAGGAAATTTGACAGTGCAGTGTGAGGTGGCATAAGATGCATGGGTGTATTGTAAGGTTTAGACAGAAAGGGTGTTCACGTTGAAACCTCGAAGAAGGACTCTTTGTGCTGGTGATGTAATACTTCATGCTCAGGCTGCTGAAGGCAACCGAGACAGAGTCTGGAGGCTAGACCTCAATGCCTAACACATATCGTAAGCATGGGAATGAGGTGGATGGGATTCTGTGGTAAGATAGTCTGAGTGCCTAATTACCAATGGAAGCTGAGTGTAAGGGGCTGCTCCAGGCTGCTGGTTGCAGCACGTTACATGCTGGTCCTTAATTGATCACCTTAATTTCTATGCTAATATTGTACAATAATTATAGTCTTATGTTCATTCTATTTATAATTGTTTATTGTTCCCAATAGCTTCTTGCTCCTAGTAGTAAGGCCAGGAGCCCCTAGTAGCGTCCTTGTTCCTAGTAGCGATGCCTCCTATGTACTTTCCGTTGTGTCAATTTTCCAAGGTACAGAGGAGGCTTTAGCCAGGAGACCGTGCCAGTGTGGCGGTGTGAGGCTTGCGATTGATTCTGACATAGAAATACCACGTTGGTTTTTGTGTTTGTTAAGCTGCGTGTAATGATTTAGGGGGCGTTAATAATATGTTTATATAAATAGGATAGAATATGCCTTTGCAAACCCATAGGCTAGACTTGACTAGAGATTCTTTTAGGAGGGTGATGCCCTGCGGAGACGTGGTGCTCACCTCGCTTGCTCGGCTTGTGGCGTGGCTACAATCGCGATGTGCTGGAGTTGGGAGAGGAAGACTGTACATGAAAACAGATGAATCGCATGAAATGCAGGTAGCTAGAAAACATAACAGTATTGTGGATGAACTTGCCCGGTTCATGCGGACGAAAGAACATTGGCCCAATGATCAACGGACGCCATGGATTTCAATGTGCAAGAAATGTTTTGAGCAGACAAAGGCTTGATGAGTGTTGAGTGTTGCGTCTCAATCCTTTTGCTGTCTCCAATTGCCCAACTGTTGTGTCCCCTTCTTTGCACTTTACTCAGTTGGCTTGTCTCAAGTCTCACGATCATCCAGCCTTTGATCCTCAGACAGTTTTGTGACTTTGTCGTCCCTTGGCTCACAGCCAATGATTGGGCTGTGGTGCTGAGGCAAGCTTGCAGCAAAGCGTTGCTTGGATTACGTTGGTTTGATGTTATTTCATAGCTGCTAGCTGCATGTGAGTTTAATTGTTTCTTTTGCCAATGTAGCTGACCTGATAGATTCATACGGCTATTTCCTGATGGGTCCGGGCTTTCATAGAGTTGACAGATATGTTTGTTTCATCTTTTGTGGCTTGAATAGAGTCACATTTTGCTATCATTTCAGCGGCCAAGCTGATTTAGCTGGATATGCTCAAATCATGCAGGATTTCAAAGCAAAGTTGCAAGCAAGATCAAAGGCGGTGGAGTGGAGAGCATATTATATATACAGTTAATCGAGATCAGATCCAGTTCACCTTGAGTTGCAACATGGGGACATGAGATCCAGTATTCTGTTTCTACTCAGTGGCTGAAGGTAAGCATGGTTGGCCTGAAAGACTTTGGACTTGAAAACCTTTGCTTTTGTTTTCTGCAAGGATCAGTCGTTATTGGCCTACGTAGTAACGAGTCCACGCCATTTTCTTGCCAGTTTGTGCTTGTCGGTGTCGTCAGTTGATTTTTCAGGGCATTTTGGGTTCCAAAGCGTTCTGACAATCCTTACATGTTGCTTTTGTGCAATTCCTGATGATTCGTGCGGTTAACAATTCAACAGGCAAGATGACGGAAGCAGAACGTCGCTCTCTTTTCCGCCGTGGCCTGAAGGAGGCCTGTGTGGCCGAGCTTTTTCCGCAGCAGATGGCGGTGGAACCTTGGATTGGAGTGGCAGTGTACTACGCTCTATTGAAGATCTTGCAAGCGCGTTCATAGTCCAACTGTCTCTGGGGTACTTTCATTGGGTGGTGAATCATGGCAGATGATTGAGGATAAAGGCTGCCGAAGCATCACCACTGAAGTACAGAGACCCCAGCATCCCCAAGCACCGAGGTGGAGAAAGCGGGGCAGGAGTTTTATGTCGATTTTCAAGAAGCATTGGGCAGCCAGCATGGCAGGGTCAACGTTAAGGCTATGAGCCCAGAAATTAAGGCTCGCCACCTGCATCATGTGAAGTGGCAATTTGCAGTTGACAATTGAAACACATGCTGAGCATGTTGACTTGGCAGGAAGACGCCATTGCGGGATGCCGTCACGTGCTGGCACAGTATTCTGACAACCTTCTCAAAAAGGCATCCAGCAGTACTGAGCTATACTGAGCTACTGCTCCAACTTCAAGTTGCATATGCCTGGTGTAAATTTTTGGTGAATGAACTCTGGCATCTGGCTTTTGTCACAATTTGTGGAGGTTCTATCTATCCCAAGAGGTTCTCGCGCATCGGAGTTGGACTTCTCTCAGCTCTTGTGCGGGCGAGAAATGGCTAGCGTGCTTTGGCAAAGCCCAACGTTCAAAAACAGACCGTGTGCTGTTTATATAAATTCTTGCGGTTGCAGGGCGGTTGTCCTGCTAGTGCTTGGGCACCATTTCCTTTGAAGGTATGCGATGATGAATCAGAAGATGGCGATGATGAACTCTAAGAGCAGGTAGCTTCAGAGTGGGCCAAAGAGCCACTGTGCTAATATGTGCAACACATTTAAGATCAATTGCAGCAAACATAAGGACTTCGTCACAAATCGGCGACTTCCAGCATGACAGAGTCAGAGCTTGAAGAAAATTGACCTGTAAAGTGGGTGTTCAGGGCCGTCACCCTTTGTCTCGAACAAAATCTGCAGCAATTGACCACTTGATGTTCTCACAAAGTGATCTGAACCAGGTTCAGATGCCTCAAGACCTTATTATTCTAACAGTTTGCGCAGCTTGTGCAGCAGTTCAAATTTCGGCTACATTCTCAGAGTGTCTCAGAGTGCTTTGGTGAAGTGTTTGCAAAAAGATGTAATTATATGTAATTAATGGACCGCGGCACGCGTTGATATTTGGGCAACAGTGTTCATCATCTCATTTAGTCCCTCTCAGCGCTGTCGTTTTGCTATGTTCTTCATTGTTGGATCAGTCGTTCAATGATCCATTCACTCCTGGCATTCTTCGCAGCAGCCGGCATGCTGATGGTAAAAAGGAAGAGAGGAAACCATTGCAGAATTACATAAGTCTTTTGGCACTTTAGGTGCAGCTGCTGGCATTTCCCCTGGCGGTGCCGGAGCTGGAGCAGCGTAAACGTCTAATCTCTGTGCAACTCTCAGCTGCGGTTTGTGCTGGAGTCCTTCAGTCTAGACTCACGATGGAGATTTTGCTTGCTACTAGTAGCTTCCTTGTTCCTAGTAGTAAGGCCAGGAGCCCCTAGTAGCTTCTTGCTCCTAGTGGCGATGCCAGGAGCCCCTAATAGCATCCTTGCTATTACGTGCAAAATAGAACACTTGCCACCGCAAGACTGACGTGGCCCTGTCTAAAGGCTGGATGGCACAGCCTTTTGGGAGCCTCAGCACCAGCAGCTCCATGGTGCCACGCTCAGATGTGAGAACAGGTCAGAGCCAGCAGCAAAGCAGCTAGATTGTATAAGCTATGCTTGGTTGAGCACAGAGCCACTCAGTGAACTGATTAGAAACACCAGCAAAATTGGGGAAGCCAGAGTCAGTGTTAGGCCGTTTTAGTTTGCAAAGCGGGCGGGGCTGCGGGATGAGGATCACATTGACATACTGGGTGTCCAGGACCTAGTTTTCTTCGTGCATGCTGTGATTGGTGGATACTCGTGCGCCGGGCCAGAGTATGGGTTCCCTGTGCATTTCTTCTCTACTGTGCATTGTGTATTTTCCCAGACTGGTTTCGCTGGAGGTGCTTGTTTGAATCCATGTTCTTGACCCTTCCCATGACATTCATGTTCATGAAGGTCATGCTGGTCATGCGTGCACGCTCAGCCTGCTTTTGCTTCAAACATTTTGTCAACCGGCAGCATGGACACAGTTCAGGGAGACTCTGGACTCTGGCAGGTGCAACGTGGCCTTCAGCCTTTGCACCTTACGACTTGTGCGAAAAGCTTCAGCGGCCACAGTGGTTTTGGCCAATGCTCGGTGCTGAATGGTGTACCAGTACTGGGAGAAACTCTCTAGATTATATGCAGGCCAACTATGATCAACTAACCAATGCAGCTGTTGTGCATCAGACGTGAATTTGCCTTCGAGCTCATCTCCCACAACTCCCTTGACTCTACAAATGAGTTATCACGAAAGCCAGCCGGTAGGCTGGGCTTGAGGTTGTTTGGGAGCGAACGAAGTGAGTAAAGGGGGTGTGGGGGGGTGGTTGCGTGGTGGCGAATTTCGGAGAGGTGAACCCAGAGGCGGGCCACTTGGCCGCTGCAATCGCTTCTCTCTCAAGCCCCCAACCCCACCACATAGGGAGTGCCCTCTTCAGTCTGGTTCTCTCGCAGGCCCTCAACAGATGGCATCACGCATGCCTTTTTCAGTCCAGCAACTAGACCTTGCTACGAATAAACAACCCTTAAGCTATTCAGGGCCTTCCGCCGGCCTCCAACACTTGCCCACTGCAATCTCTTGTGAACTCTCACCACATAGGGAGTGCCCTCTGCAGTTCGGTTCTCGCAGGCCCTCAACACCATGTGGGGCGCCTTTTCAGACCAGCAACTAGACCTTCCTACGGGAAAAAAAGGGCACCCCTAAGCTATTCAGAACATTCTGTCTCCAACGCTTGCCCGCTGCTGCAATCGCTTCTCTCTCCTACCGCCATAGGGAGTGCCCTCTTCAATCCGGTTCTCTTGCAGGCCCTCAATCAGATGGCATCATGCAAATCAGATGGCATCATGCACCCCATGTGGGGTGCCTTTTTCAGTTCAGCAACTCGACCTTACTGCGGATAAAAGACGGCGCTCCGAAGCTATTCAGGGCCTTCCGCCTCCAACGCTTGCCTGATGCAATCTCTTCTCTCTCCTGCCTTCACACGTGAACTCCAATACATGCAGGGGCCCTCTTCAGTTCGGTTCTCTGGCAGGCTCTGAACAGATATAGCATCATGCACCCAATGTGGGGTGCCCTTTTTAGTCCAGCAACTAGACCTTGCCACGGAGAAAAAAGATGAAAAACGGACACCCCTAAGCTATTCAGAACCTTCTGTCTCCAACGCTTGCCCCCCTGCCCCCAACCCCACCACGTAGGGAGTGCCCTCTTCAGTCCGGTTCTCCCGCAGGCCCTCAACAGATGGCATTGATGCACCCCATGTCAGGCGCCCTTTTAGTCCAGCAACTAGACCTTGCTACGGATAAAAAAAGGGCGCCCCAAGCTATTCAGGACCTTCCGGGACACTCCCTGTGCGGTGGGAGTTCAATGGACCATCGTCTTGAATTTGTACAATCTCCTTGCTGTACCAGTCACATGTGTCATCTTATACAATTATTGAACTATACATTCCACGTTGCATCCATACCACAGAGGTTAGCAGTTTGGCACCATTTGAAGTGGCCAGCTGTTGCTGGAAACCATAGCACTTACTCCGAACTACATTCCAAGCTTACATGAGAACAAGGGGATATCTAATCACGAAAGCCAGCCGTCAACCCACTTGAAACATAGACCAACACACCATGCCCAACCTTCCCCAGACTCAAGGGTGCCCTCTTTCCCCTCCACAACGCCCCGGCATCGAGACGCAAAGGGGCACCCATCCGAAACCTCTGTATTCTACTCTCTCTTTCCATTCTTTTTCGACTGACGGCCATATCCACTTCACCACGAAAAAGGGCACCCCCCCTTTTTACTTCTACAGTGTGTTTTTACCTTCTCGCGTACTTGCGATGCCAACTTCACCCCATAAACGTACTCTTTACATGATGTTAGCCTATCACTTCATCTTGCACACTCAAGTCGCTCCAATATCAAACTCACGACTTCCGGCTACTCTTTGTCCACTCTACCTATATCTCTTTTTCTCTCTCTCCTCACCTACCCTACCCATTGCCTCGCACATGAACCCCCACCACCGTCTCTGCTCACAGTTCGCAACACGCCGCCGGCAAGCGCCCCTCACTTCCTGAAGGGGTGCCCTTTGCCCTTTTTCACCTCCAACTCCTCCCGGAACCGGAGCGAAAAAGGCCCCCCCCCCAGACCTATGTTTTCTAATTACTTTCAAATTCTACCCCCTATCGGTGTCGCTGCGTGGCTGCGATATGAACTTCGCCCCATGACATTACTCTTTGCCCGATGTTACCCCACCACTTCCTGTTGCACACCAAGTCTTTGCCCGGCCTTCCCTTGAGAGCACCCCCTAAGCCAGAGGCTGGCCTTCGTCCCCTCCCTTCTCAGGTATATAATTATATCAATGATCTATATAGTTGTCCAAGTGTGGGACTACTAGTGTAGTGGGTGTGAGTAGATTTTTTGCCGCAAAGTGACAAAGTGAGTGCGTAATGCACCAAATTGGACAGCGGGGCTCGTTGCTCACTGAGCCAAGCTTCTAAGGTTGCAGCCTTGCCACTGAGCGTCCCCACCTTGGGGGACGTCTCACAGGAGATTTGGGTATATAGGACTATTATAGGAGGACAATGAGGACTGTGGGTTTCAAGACAAAGCATTTTGCTTGTGTTTCAGGGCACTGTGACATGGTGTAACAGTGTGACTGCCCTGACAATGCAAATTATCAGTAGAAACCTCGTTGAGTACCGTTTCCGCTGAATTTTACCGCTGGCCCAGGCGCTAGTTTTCTGCTGCCCTCTTCCACTGCTGGAGAACGAACCCAAGTAAGAGCGGGCTCAGCTGTTGAACATGTTGGACTGTCGGAGGAATATGACCTTAATATAAAATGTGGGTTTCATGACAAGGTATCACTGATCACTGCTGATCAATGATACAGATGTCAGCCCAAGGCGACAGCCTTTCCGGTGGTCGTTTGCTTGTAGTTTGATCTTAGTCGCGGACTTAGCATAACTTAGCTTTGTTTTTGAATCCTGAATGTCCATAGACATTGCGGAATAACATTACTCCAACGGTTGATTGTAGTATCTTGTAGTGTTGTGGCATTTGAGCGCGGCCTGGGATGCCCACAGTCGTTGATTGTAAGGTGGTCGTCGGCAACTTGCTTTATGGACCTGACCTGAGATATCGGAGCTGAGAGGATGTTGGCCTTTAGGATTGCATGCTTGTAAGCAAGCACTTGTACGGGGCCATGTTCGATTCGCTTGTTGGTCAGACTGATGTAGCAGTCCACGTGGCCATACAATCAAGGAAGCACCTCCTGGCGAAGAAGGTGATAACTTGAGGGCTGCATGAATTCGTTGAAACATACCGCAGTCCATCAAGCGGATTTGGCATGCATAACTTGCAAGAGAGCTCAAGCGAGCAACGTCCTACACTCATCTATGACTCGTTTTGTTAGTTGTTTTAGTAGTAGTCCATCATCAGGTGAAAGGTTCGCAAAGATAGCGCGAAGGGGTGTGTTTGCAGATCAGGAACGGTTCGCCTTTGAGAGACAAGACACAGCAGCGACAGCCAGCGACAGCTGCAGGAACTTCATTCATTCATTCATTCATTCATTCAGCCAGTCATTGAGAAAGCAAACAGCAAGCATCCCTATAGCGACTGTGAGCTGGGGAACACAGAACTATCATTTTTTTCCCTCTATCAAGCCTTAGGTGTAAACAGACACTTGGTGATGTGGGTTTTAGGCTTGAGTAGGGTCGGCAAAAGCGTGCGAAGGGATAGCCAAAGATGTGATTTTACGGATCGCTTTTCCACACCGCTGAGATGACAAGTCATGAACCAACCTCCCCAGTCCTGGCCACCGATCCCAAGTGCTCAGCAGGCAATAGGTGTTTTGGTGCCAACTCCGCCACGTTGATTGCTTGGTGACTATAGCTAATCGATGCTCACTGTTTGCGGCTTTTCCGCAGCCAGGGCTGGGCTTTTGTTCCTAGACCTGGTCCTAGTGAGACAAGTCGTGTTTGCGAAACAGAGCATGCTAGCCAGATGGAGATGGTGCTCTCGGCAAGACTCACAGACTCACAATATCGAATTGCATCAAGTGATAGGGCCTTCGCAAGGATGCACCGGATCTTGCGAGTGTGGTCAAACAACAATTTGCAGTTGTTTTCCACAATGCTTTGGGCTCTAGGCAGCAAAACCCACGGGGTATAGGTGTCGAGAACGCCTCAAAGAAGCCCCGCGCAGCGGCATGGCCTTGTCGCTGCTCAGAGTGGTGAGATTTATGCTGGGCCCTCCAGGGGTCTGAACCTTGGCACGTCCGTTCAATTCTACTCATGGGGCATCCCAAATGATTTCAAGCATGGATCAAGGCAAAGGTACGATCGCAGAAGAATCTGAGAAGTCTGAGGTTGAGGTGTATGTGTGTGAGTACAACATAATATGTCCTGATTTGATGGTATAATGATACATGTTGAACCAGTAGAAACTCACATGGACTCTTGCTTTTGAGGTCCCTCTTTGGATTGTACTAGCCTTCGATACCATCATGCTGATGCTGGTGTCGTGTGTCATCCTTTTGCACGGGCCTAACTTTCATTTGGCAGATCACCACAAGCCTTGCAAATCAACTTTGTGCCAACCAAGGGTGCTCCCAAAGAAAATGCTATCCAAGTCAAAGCTAGTGCGAAGTGCCCGCAATAGGCTTGAGCCTCAGCCCCATCTTTGGCTAAGATGACATGTATGATTTGCCGGCATCGGTTTTGGTTAGTTTTGCATAGCACAGTTCTAAAAATCCATCAAACATCAAAGCATGTCCTTTTCATCCAATATGCCTTGGCTTCAGGCTAGTTCGCTGGCTTCACAGGATGGTGGAGCCACTGCCTTCAATGCTGAGAGATTGATTCATTATCTTCTTTGTACATCATGCCTGCCTCAATGTGTTTTCACTTGTTGTTTTCCACCAGAGTGCTTTTTTAAGCTACTCCCGCCATGTCGGTGAGAGACTCCTTGTAGGGGCGAACAACTCCAAACAATTCCTGAGGCTGTCGGTCCAGGGCCCGCTGGCGACCCAAAGCATATTGTGCATTGGATGTGTGTGTGTGTGTTCTTGAGGGGGTTGGTTGCTAGGAGGTAGCTTACAAGTAGCTACGTAAGAGGTAAGAAGTAGTGCGCCAGGGCGCTCTGTTTGCTCAGACTTCTTCAAAGAAGCTCCCCTTTCCTGTTCTATCAGCCACTTGCTTATCAGGTTGGTCGTGGGGACTGTTTGGCTCGGAAGGAAGTTTGGAGGAGGTAGTCGCACCCTCGGAAGCCGGGGTTTGGCTGCATTTGACATCGAATCTCCAAATCACCTCGTCTTTGGCATGGATTCTCAAAACCAATGTGCCAATCAGGGCTGTCCAATGTCCCCAAAGCACCTCACGCAGCTTGGTGGCATAGTGTGACCTTACATAGCCGTCTTACGTAGCCAGGCCCCAAGGAACGGATGGATCGTCAAGTGTACGGACTGCGTGGACAATGTCTTGCTACTAGTAGTATGTACTAGTAGCTTATTGTTTCTACTAGCTTCTTGTTACTACTAGTAAGGCACTTGTTACTAGAAGCGATGCACTTGTTACTAGTAGCTGATTGTAATGGCCTCCAACCTAGTAGCTTCTTGCTACTACCATTGGCCTGTGGCCTCTCAGGGCGTTGCAGCAAAAGCAGAAAGTATGAATGATGCCGCGGGCTCGGGCATCGTCGGATAGTACTTGTCATGCAACAATAGACCGATATGTAAGTTACATGACACCTTTTGGACAGTTGGTCCACAGTGTCATCAGCCAAGCTACCAAAGTGACATGACTTGGATGCCTCAAGGTTTGTATCAAGTTCTCTCCCACCAAAGGGTGGAACCTGTTCCACGAGGCTGCTCCTACCTGCAAGCGAAGTAAATGATACTGATAATGGCTGCTATATAGCTAGTGTATTTGCGTGATACTGGAGGAAAACTTTGTGGTCTCCTTTGCACGGGATGGTTGCGATCTTTGGCAAGAGCACCTGTCTCAAGGATATCTGGATGCTAGGATTGGCCTTTAGAGATAATGCGTGTGGAAATGAACGCTACAGGCAGTCGTTCAACAAGGACAATGACTGTGAAGACCTCAGTGGCCAGCCCGACATTCTTAGTCCTTGGACGTTTGGCCACTTATTGTTTCAAATGATGGGTAGAGACAGTCCCCCAGGGAAGTTGCAGATCACATGCGGCATAGCTAGCTTTGCAGATGAAGGGTCTTGATGTGTAGGGTGTAGGGGACCTCCATGCGTTGGTTGTAGGCTATCAATGGCCATTGCTACCATAGATACATATATATATATATATATACATATACTTTTTACATAATCTATATATATTGCAATTTAAAACAGAAAGAAGGACACTTGACAAGCGTTCGAAGGTGTGATGTGTTGCAATGAGCCCGTATCAGCTATCACATTGCGCCATGCCAGGCAGCCTGAAAAAGGGCGACCGCTTCAAGCCTGAAACCCATACCCACTGACAAGTATGCAAAGTCCATCAATTACAGTAGGACGATGTAGGACCTCAGTAGGACATCCGAATTTGCTTTTGGCCGAATCCATTTCAGGGTGGTTATTGCAGAATTGCAAGGAGCTCAATGGAACAGAGTGGTAGGATAAGAGATGGTGCATATAGAATACAGCTGACTGCAAATAGCAACGAGCCTGAGCTGGTAGAGGTAGGACGGTCAACATTTACGAAAGACTACACAAGTAAGGAGATGGACATGGGATATCAAAACGCGGGCTCTATACAGCTGAAATACGACGACACTCTCAGACGGTAAACTGTTTAAACTGACATCCTCAGACGCTCACCAAATCCTGATGTCCTTGAATTATATAGTAATTGTTTTTGACCCATGGCTCATATACAAGATTTTGATAGGATTTGAAGCATGTGATTTGAAGCAAGTGGGGCTTCTGAACCAACTACAGCAGGAGGGACAGAGAGAGAGAGAGAGGGAGAGAGATTGTGCAATAAAGTGCTATCGGCAGTGTCTCAGCCTTTGCCTCAGGCCAGCGTTTACCCGGGTCAAGTTTCGGGTGTGCCGAGCACCAAGCAGACGGCAAAAACCACAGCTTGAAATAAACAGACGAGGAAAGGAGCCAAGCTAAAAATAGCACCAAGGTGCAATCTCATACTGGGGCCGTGGTCCTTGGAGCAAGGAGGCTACTGGATATATACGCAATTTGCGAAATTGGAGTAGCGTTGCAAGGTGTTCCTAGGTTGCACAGATACGTGCAGCTTGAACATAGACTGACCAGGACTTGCTAAAGACTTTTTAGTGGGTGGAATTGGCCATATAGCCATAATCAGCTCAATCCTCGAACGCAGTCTGGGATTGTGGTCGAATGACAGGTGACCATCACAACGATGGCGAAGCCCTCCAAGGATTTGGGCTTCACAGGATCGCTGGGCCCAGCCTGGGAGAAGACAGGACCGGAGCGGTTGATTCTACCAAAGCTTTTGCACACTTAAGAGAGAATAGTGCAACATGGTTAAGACTTGCCATTGGGTTGGAGGCCATCGCCATATTAGATTGGAGGCCATCGCTATTAGGTTGGAGGCCATTACTAATAGGTTGGAGGCCATCGCTATTAGGTTGGAGGCCATTGCTAATAGGTTGGAGGCCATTGCTATTTGGTTGGAGGCCATTGCTATTAGGTTGGAGGCCATTACTAATAAGTTGGAAACCATCGCTATTAGGTTGGAGGCCATTGCTTGTAGGTTGGAGGCCATCTCTATTAGGCTGGAGGCTGAAAGACATGTAGTTATTTTCTTGTTTTCTTGAATTCACGAATCCGCCAGGCAGGTTAACAGATTGTTTACAAGCGGACGCTTAGCTCCTCCTGGAAAGGAAGTGGCAAGAAGGAGTACATTTGGCTACAGACCAGGAACGAGGTGAGAGCTACGCTGCATATGCACCGCATGCCTACTTTTGTGGTTTGATGGTAGCACTTGCAGGTGCATGTCAGGATACCTATCGGCCCTGAAGTTCGTGGTAAAGACATCAAGTCTTCCAGCTTAAACATGTGTGGCAACAAGCTCAACCTGGTGTTGAGACTGTATTGCTTGCATATGGACTTAGGTTCAGAGCCCAGCCACACAGGCTTCAGGTCGACCTAGCAGTTTGATTCCAAGGATGTCCGGCAGACATTTTCATTTCATAGCATCATTCTCATTTCACTACTAGCGCCTCAATGAGTGGTTGGTAGTTGGTGCCATTAGCACACATGTTCAGTAATTCTGGTGTTCGAGGTCGGTACGGAA